ATGCTCTTTTACCAATACTATGCTGCTTTGATTACCGTAGCCTTAGAGTAGGTCTTGAAATTGCATATCAGTTCTCTAACTTTGTTGTTCTTCTTCATTGTTATATTGACTATTTCGGGTCTTTTGTCTCTCCATATAAACTTTAGAATCAGATTGTGGATATCCACAAAATAACTTGCTGGGATTTTGAGTGGGATTGCATTGAATCTATAGATCAAGTTGGGAAGAACTGACATCTGAGTAGTATTGAGTCTTTCCATCCATGAACATAGACTATCTCTCCATTTACTTAGTTTTTTAATTTCACTAACCAGAGTTTTGTCATTTTCCTCATATGGATCTTGTGTGTATATTCTGTTTGGTTTATACATAAAGATTTCATTTTGGGGGGCTGCCTAGCTCATTTTTTACAAATAAATTGAAAATGGATATAAGATTTAAACATGTAAAAATAAACCATAATACTAACAGCAGAAAAAATTGATTTTTTTTTTTTTTATGATCTTGGCACTAAATACAAGGTAATATGATTATAAGTGCTTTATATATAATAACTAATTTAAGCCTCATAACACTACCAAGTAATTATTATAATCCATATTTTATAGATGAGGAAACTGAGACTTAATAGGTTAAATGTCTTGTTCAAGATTGTAGAACTAGTAAGCAGGAGAGATAAGATTTGAATCTCAGAAGTTAGCTCCAGAGTTTGTGTTCTGAACTACTATACTATAAATATATCCAGTACTCTCTTTGACATTCTATGCATATGTACAGATTACATTTAAGCTTCTGAACTCAAAAATACTATAAGTGAGGTAAAGTATATATAAAAACATTCTTGGAAAAAATTTACAGCATATATTGTAGACAGAATAGAAGAGAATTTTAAAATATACAAATAATGTATAAATCACTAACAAATGGATGAAAGGAAGGTAAGAATGAAAAAGAAATGAAGAAACAACAACAAAAAAGACACGAACAAGCAGTTCATTGAAAACAAATACATGACCAATAAACTTATGTGTGCCACTCCTCTTGAGAAAGTTGCAGTTAAAGCAATGACAAAATATCACTTTTGCCTACCACATTGTCTAGTATGGAAAAGCTTAATAATACTCAATGTTTTGAACAAGTTGAAGAAAAACAGACATTCACTTTCTACTGTTAACAGTGTAAATTGGTAGACCTTTTACTTGGAAAATTGGCAGCATCCATCACAAAATTAAATTTACCTCTCATTTGACCAATGAATTCCACTTTCAGGTATTTATTCCATAGACATACAAGTGGCTGAAGTCACATATATACAAGAATGTTTGCTGCATCAGTATTTATATCAGTGATGTTGAAATATGGTCTGTTTGATGATGACAATTCATCAATTGTTGGTTATTAGTCTGGGAGGAGAGAAGGGGTCAGAATATAAATCAACTAAGAGCTCTGTGAGTTCAGGTGACAATTTTTATTCATAGAAGTTTTTCTTGCAGTATGCTAATTTATATTCTGGGGTAAGCTCCTTATCTCAATGTAAAACAGCACTTTGAGTAGCACTAGTTTATAATAACCAAAAATAGGAAATAATCCAGAAGTCCACCAAGGAGGTATTTGCTAAGTAAATTATAAAAGATCCAAAATAAAATCTTGTGCATTCATATAAATAATGAAATCTACATATATATAGATGTGAAACATATATACACATACACATGATGGAATGGAAAAAATATTGCAGGATCGTATGAATACGGTAAGAAGTGCAAGATGAAAAAGTACAAGTTTGTATAAGCATAGAGTTTCTGGAAATAGACACAAGATATTGTTAACCATGGGTTATCTTTGGGATGTGGGATTGGGATCATGGAGAGATAGGGTATGGGTTTTTGTTTTTTTTTTTTAATTTTATGTCCTCCTACACTGCTTAAATGTTTCTACAGCTAGCATAAGTTATGTTTATACTTTTACAAAACATGAATTAAAATTTTAAATTTTGTTTAAAAGTCATGAATACAAGTCAGATTAGACTCACTACCGATCAAATTTCCAGAAGCTGGCTTTGGGCTGAAATTTATTTCAGAAGACTTACTGAGACAAACGTACATGAATTTCCATGGAGTCATTCGTGTAAAGATGTGAAAAGCACATCAGCTTGTTTGTCCAAACCTAGAAACTGTTTTTTCTCACCTTAAAAAAAAAGAGTTTATTATGGGCAATACATACACTTCTCCAACCAAATTTTTAGTCCATCTCTAAGATGTATCTCCAGCCTAGGAAGTGATAAAGTTAGGATTCTGTCCCTGCAATGTGACAATCAGTCACCTAATTCTGACCATAACTGTTAAAAAAAAAAGGGTGAAAAATAGAAACAAAACAAAACAAACAAACAAAAAACAAACAAAAGAAGTAGAGGACCAGAAGACTTTGCTCAAGACGGCCCAAAGATGGTAGATCACAATATGAACTTGACAAAATCTGGTGGTCTTCTATGCTTCATGGAAACCACAGTTTATATTGCCAAAAATTATAGGATATTAAGTGTTTCAGAGTCATCTGGAACACATTAATAATCATTAACATTTGTACAGTACATGCAGTTTGCAAAGTACTTTTATATTCACTGCCTTATTTGATCTTCACAATGGATCTTCAGAGTAGGTAAATTTCATAGATCAAATTTTATAGATGCAAACACTGGGTACACAAGGCTTATGCTCATTCCCCAAAGTCACCAAGCAGTGAGGAAGCAAAGCCAGGTTATGCCAGTCCAAGTCCTTACCACCACCCCACACTGCTTTCCAAGGCATGGCCGACCTAAGCCGCCCCAGACAGAAGAGTCTGGGTGGCTTGCTTACTCTCTGTGTTTATTTGCATGATGTTATGCTGTTGAGCTGGATGAGTTTAAAAGCAGACCATGGCTGTTGCCACTGTTTGTTAAACACTGCTACTTGGAGCAGGCAGGGATACAGAGAGCAGCTTGAGTTCCTCATCATCTTGAACAAGATCAAGCAGGATGAATAGAGGGAAAAGCAATTCTAGCCGATATGGATGAAGGAAGCTCTCCCACATGCTATGTTTTATATTGGCATTTCTGTTCTTTCCTACATTTGTTATACTTTATTCTTTACTCTGGGAAGTTCAATGTAGTAATAATAAAATGATCTTTCTTGAAGGTCTCTCTAACTCTGATCCCAACTATTATTATTCCCCAGCAGTCTTTCATGTCAGACCTCTTTCCTTTCCCAACACTCCTCATGAAACTCTCCATATCCCAATACACTGTGTGTATTGCTACTTTCTTGAACACAAACCCTATATAGAGGAATTATAATTATGTGATAATACCTTCCATTTATTAAGCACCTATTAAATGCCAGGCACTGTGGTAGGCACTTAGAACACTTTATGTGATCTCTAAACCTTGTAGCCAGTCTACAAGCTATGACTCATTCCTTTCACTTTGCTGATGAAGAAAGCCAAGTCCAGAATGACTGAATCTGAATCTTATATAGTGGGTGACGGAACTGAGATACATAGATCTGTCTAACTTCAAAGCCAAGATTCTCTCCAGTACATAGCACACAGTGATAATGCTTATTGTATTAGCTATTCAAATAAAGTATTTAGTGCAAATGTTCATTTTAAATTTATGTATGTATTTTAACAGTTAGCATCATACTCTCTTTTCCTCGGCTCTTAAAAGGTAGGTTGGTGGTCTAAGGTGATGAAAAGCAAACCTAATACAAATGCAGTGCTCCCATATCATATCCCTTACCAACCTAAAGAGACTTACGGCATATAATGGACCCTTCTGTTCTACTTCTTTCTCCACCTGGTCAACTCTCAAAGGAAAACAAAATTCATATGATCATTGAAGTCTAGAAATTAACTTTTATTTTCAATCTGTCAAGAACTCCTGGCAGTTATTAATTTTATTAAAATGATTACATATGGCAAAACAAAGAATAGAGGTAATTCTATTTCTCTACAACATAAATTATGAGTTAGATTCTTAGCTGCTGGCTAAGCATTGTTCAAGATTCTTTTAAGGATTGGGGGGAACTTTAATTTCCAAAAAATGTTAAAGCAGCAAAAGAAAAAATAAATTAAAAGTAATTGCAATTGGAGATATTGCCAAGGATATGCTAATTATAAAATCTTCTTGATGTGTTTATAGGCCAGATTCCAAGCTTTGGTATTTAAAAATAAAAATCATGTGAAAGCTCTCCTATAATGCCTTGTCATCCATAGTTTATAACACAGAACGAATTTGCTGATTCTTTTTAAAAGGATGGCAAAAATGAATTATGACTAATTCAAATAAAAAACAACCAGCATCCATTCATCTAACTGAAATATGTCAAAACAAAGTCAATTTTATTAAAATATTTAATACCAGAATAACTTATAATAGTATGAAAAAGAGTGAAGTACTTGTCCTTAGCTTTCTTTGACATGATCACATTATGACAAAATTAACTGGTAAAGATTCGAAAGTTTTTGTCAAGGATCTGTAACTATTTAAGGATGTAAACCAAACGAACTCATACTTCATCTGATCATACAGTCATAACTTAACATATCCTGCTTTGCACTTACTGTTACTGCAACAGCAATTTAGAAAACAAAGTAAAAATATATATATACAAAATATTTTTATATCAAATTATTTTCATTACACTAAATAAACCCAAACCCCAAATACTATGTTACATGAAAAAGTGTCCTACGATTTATATCAAGATTGATATTGTCCACATATCAACTAGAGCAGCCTTTGGTTTGAAAAACATTTTGCAAAATAAAGAAAAATATCACCACATGGCTGCACTAATGGCTCTCATTCACACTCACAAAAAAGCTTTCCAGTTAAAAAAAAAAAATTACAAAATAGATTACATACCCAAAAAAAATCCCACCATAAAAGAGTCAAATCCTTTTTATTTCTCTGTAGCACATATTCTCTGTTATATTTGGCATCTCCACTGTTTATTCAAGTTTCAAGTCTCCCCCAGCTGATTAGAATATTATTATTTGATTGAAAACTATATTCTTCTTTCCTGATACTGATTATTCTCACTCAGTGATAGTCTAATTTAGAAACGAAACGTTCCTTCTTTTAATGCATGAGTTCACTTAATTTTTACTTTAATGTCCTACTTGGCAAAATGCAAAGACTGTCAATGTTTGTTTTCCATATGTTTTAAATTTAAAAACCAATTTTATGAGTGTATATGTATATTCACATAGAGATACATTTCTTTCATTGTCTTGTTCTCGTTGCAATACAAACTGTCCATCAGCAATTATAATTTGAAATGAACCAACTAAAAGGTTTTTTAACCATTCCACATGAAAAGCTTTCCATCACAAAAAGCACTGAACTTTAACGCAAACAGGATTATGTGTTAAAACTAAACTATAGGTTTAGTTCTACACAGGAACATTTTGAGTAATTTATATAATAAAATTTTTAAGAACTTCAGCGAAATTTAAGAAAAAGAAAATCCAAATTAATTCTAAAAGGGCATTGTGGTATTTTCCATCAATGCTTGGAAAAAGTTCTTCAGATCACAATGTATTCACTGGATTCTTTTTACATGTACATGTTATGTGATCGCCGCTCCTTTCCTTTTGGAACTTTGTAGTGTGTCTGATAGGCAGGCAAGATACATGCATGAAATTCTCACTGTCACTCTGAAAAGCATGCTGAACAATTTTAAATGCTGCAGAAGTTGTTTTTTTTTTAAGAGGAACGTTTCATTTGGGCTGAATAGATGTCCAAGTTTTAACACGTGAATTACTGAATACATTGTGAGGCCTTTCAGCGCGTGTGGTTTCAGTCCTGGAATGGTCAGAGGCCCGTCTGGAGTGACACACAGACGAACAAGCATGGCGGTGTTGTCATTTGAGGCATAGCTCTCCACTACGCCCACGTTGCTGCTGATTTTGGGAAGCAAGGCACTTACTGTAACGGCAATGCAGACACCTGATGCATAGTTTGAGTAACATAAAATAAGTTACTATTTTTGATTAAAGTGAGGTTTTTATAATTTATATGTCTTTTATAGAAGCAACTAAATGATATAGTTAGGATAATTAAAAATAAAAAGAGGTTTGAAAGGGAGTCATTTCCACTTCTGCTTCGGCTCGTAGGAGGAGGCTTTATGGGAAAACACTGACGTGAAGAACAGCCATTGGTCTGAAAAGCGACAAACCCTTAAAACTGGTGGACCAGTGGCACTTTGACGGTCTTGACTTCTGCTATATGTGACGACTTCTGGATGATGCAGCTGGTGGTTCCCTGCAGTGTGTCTTTGCCCTGTGCAAGATTTGTTAAGGCCATAGCGGCATTAATCTCCTTCCAGTATGTGTCATCCTTGCTTGGTCCCTTCCTGTGGGCTGCACTGGATTTCAGCAAGAAAAGAAAGATAAGGATCAAACCCACTGCAGTGTACACAGAATATGCCATCAGTGAAAAGCACAAATGGTGGATAAAAACATATTTCTCACCTGTCACCCTTATTGGATCCATTTTCCAGAGCGTCTGTAAAGACAAGCAAAAACTCAATTATTTTTCTTTCCTTGTTTCTTTCTGTTTTAATCTCTGGAGTTGCCTCATTAATGACCGGGAATAGAAGCTCATCAGGAAATATGGTTGAAAATCAGTTAATTTTTTGTTTAACAAAGATAAAGTAGTTTAAGATACAAAAGAAATCTCTCTGCAAAGAAGCAGGAATAAGATGAGAACAGGTAATAAAAAATGCAAAATAGCTTTCATAAATGTACAAAAATCTGACATTGATTTATTCCAAGAAATTGGATTTTTTAATGAGGAGGCAAATAGTAGAGGGACAAGAACCCTAACTCTTCCTGCGGCCAGGTTCTGATCTCACTCCCCCACTCATCTGCTGTACCTTAAGACAGGCTACAGTGCTCCCACAAGGTCTGGGATGCAATTTCCTCAACTATAAAATAAGAGAGTTCTTGGAACTTCAGGGTGCCTCTGGTTCAACCTTCTATGACTTCGTGGGAATCAAACTGTGATTTCAGAAAACAGATTGACAAATAGTTCCCTCTGGCTAACTAGCAAACGAGTGGCAGATTCAATGCAACAGCACAGGACTTCTAGGCCTATTAGAATAAGCAGGCACCAGTCTTCTAGCTGCAAAGGAATCCTTCGCACTGCAGGAAATGAGCATTATGGGGTGAGCTTTGTTTATGCACTCTCTCTTTTGGTGTATATTTCCTCCCTCTCTTAGGCACTAATGTCTACCAGTGCAAACATCAATATCAAGAAAGATGAAATGGGCTACTAATCTTGATTAATTCTCCCTAGGTAGCTTTTAGGGTAAAAGAATATGGTACTGGGAACCCAAAAATAGACATGCTGGAGGGAAAGATATACAGAGGATAAAGAGGATCTGCTAGCATGGCATGGGAAGTGGGGACAAAGGAACAGGGTTGAGACTCCCCATCAGCCTATGAGATTTCAAAACTAAGTTAAGTTACGACCACCATCACCACCACCACCATCATCATCAACAACAACAACAATAAATATTACCAAGTAGTTACGAAATGAGGCACTTTGCCCTATACAGGAAACATGAAAACCAGGGTATTTACTCAAGACCTCCTTCCAGTTGTATGGCTTTGGAAAGCTTGAAAAGCTGTATTTTCCTGCCTTCCCACCTCTCCCTTTGTTTTACCTCTCTCAACCCAATATTTTTTGAAGACATTTTTTTCCCCTCTGCAAGGCTCAAGGCTAGTAAGGCAAGGCAGCATAATTTTCCAGTTCTGGGCTCTAAGACAGTAATGGGACTTGAGAATAAGAGCATCAACATGAACACAATACAGTGTAACCAGGGTAAAATTTTCCAAGGAAGATATGTTCAGGAGAAAAATGATTATATGTCCATGGAGAGGAGGCAGCTAAAGTCCTGTGTCCTCTAGGAAGGAAAAGAATTAGGAAAGCCTGTTAGTGCATCCTGAGTCAGGCCTCCTGGTGTGGACCTGGGGGAAATAAAGGGTCACTATGGGCTCTTTGTAGAATCCTTCCTAGGGTCCCAGGGAGCTTTAAAAAAAAAAAAAAAAAAAAGGCAAGCCAACAAAACAAAAACACTTAGTGCATAAATAACAAGGTTCTTACGAGGAATAAATGAGATGCTATGTGCCTGGCCCAAAACAGAACAACAAACATTAGTCCCTTTCTTTGATCTCCTTTCATTTAGGGGTCCTTTGGGGAAATAGCTCAATCTGTGAGCAGCTGGATGGTCACCGACTGTATCTTCTGGTCCCTACTAGGTTGGCCTGGATGGTTAGCTATATTTCGGTTGCTTTTGATATTTTTGGAACTATACAATTACTTATGTAATTGAAGAAAGAGAATGACAATTTGTAATTCACAGAACTCCAATAATCCCAGTTTACAGATCCCTTCCTCTGTGCCAGGCACTATTCTAAGCACTTTGTGTCTTAGCTGATTTTGTATTATTGCCTCTGTACGTGGATAGCATGTCTCTGTTATGTCTGTTAAGTCACTCTTTGTTTCGTACTATTATCTGTAAATCTTTACTCAGGAATGACAGAGACAGTGTACTACAAAAACAGAGAACAAGTCAAGGTCTTTGTTTAGGAGGAGGAAAGCCAGCAACACTGGATATTTTACAGAGGAAAAAAGAAAGAGTTAAGCCTTTGCTCAATTTTGCCCACAAATTGCAACAATTCTGTTGCCAAAGTGAAGCAATAGGTTATGGAGATATTTATTCAATGGAAAGACTTGGCAAAAGCAGAATAAGTTCCATGAAGCTTAAATAACATTAGGGAAATAACAAAACATAATTTAGAAAAGACCATGTAACTGATGCTCTGGCTTACAAACAAAGCAGTCTCACATATTCAAAGGGAACCAGAGGTGAATTCCCTACCTGAACGATCAACCCAAGAGTGATTACCGCACAGACGACAAGAAGGAAGCCTGTGGCCATCAAATATGTAATGGGTTACAGAACCCAGAAATTCCATAAGTGAGTGGAGCCTACATGTGAATTCACCGCTCAGGTCCATGGAGAGATTCTGTTTAAGAGGAAGAGTGAACGTGTACGTCCTGCAGCGCGGTCAGCGGCTGGATGCTGGTAGCACTGCGGCTAGTCTCCCTGAACTCCTTCCACCGAGAAACAAGTTTACTACAGCCAACTGCGAAATTATAAAATTCTGCTTACTCTTCGGGTGTATGAGTTTGACAGCTCAGTGCCTATGAAAATACCTTTGAAGTGTAAAACCTAGATTCCAATCCCTGTTCGGGTATTCTTAATTAGTTTCACAATTTCAACAAGGTCCCCCAGCAACATTCAAAAGACTGCCTCCTGCGTTTCATTTCTAAAGCTGACGGGTATGTTCAGTGTCATTAGGTATGGATTCAGGTTCTTTTCCCAGCAACAGAAGAAAGGTCTTCATAAAAAGTAAGGAACAGAAGAGACATTTTGCTTCTCTATCAAGAGCAACGCGAAAACAGGGTGTAACAAAGCTCAGTGTCAAACATTTCAAACCAACAAGAAAGAGGTGACTACTACTATTTGGGGTGGAGGGGGGTGGGGAGAGTCTCTGTGTCCAGGGTGCTTCTGGTTCAAAACATAAATTGGTGTTAGAAGGGCGTGCTTTCCCTGTTGTTGTTATTGGTGGGTTGCCCAGTGTCACTAGGATATTCTGCGTCCAAGAGCCACCTCCTGCAGAGTAGTGTGTTCTAGTTCCCAGAAGAGCTAGCAGAAGCAAGATAGCAAACAGGGGTCCTTTTACTCTGAAACATTTGTGCTCTTGCAGGAAAGCAAAGGGCAATAAAAATCTGCTGGTTTGGGAAGATTGTTTTTCCAGTCCTTATTCTGAGATGAAATCTGGGGAAATACCCCAGCTATTTTAGAGAACTGACATCATTGAGGGGAACTCAGAAAAGGTACCCTCTACTCCTTACATTAAATAACTCCATTAATTGTGAAGATGCTTTTTTCTTATGCTTTTTTCTTTTGAAGTGTAAACTAGCTGGCTTTTATCTGATTCAAGTGTTTTGCTTCTTTTCAGCCAATAGATAGGTGCTCGGTGGGGGGCTCAAGCCACTTCTACACACAGCAGACAGGTGGTCTCCCTGGCTCCTGTCCAGAAGTGGCATCCAGTCACAGTCTGCCAGGAGAGGGAAGGATTCTGAATGCCGCTGGAAAGAGAGAAATCCGAAGTCTGAGCCAGAGCAGACGTTTCCCTGCTGTTAATGAGCATGCATAGACTTGGGGTCTGACTGCCCTACATTCAGCTCAGCTGTATCTCTCACTCTGCAAGTAGCTTGGCTCGGCCTATCCGAAGTCTGGGCTAAAATGCCTTTTTAGATTCTAAGGTTCCAAAAATCAGCTACGCTGTCAATTACCATAAAAGCAACTGGTTGGCAGGAACAACTTATTGAACCAGCCAAAAGAGCGTGTTTTAAGACCAAAAAAGAAAAGGAAAGAAAAAAAAAAAAAGAGGTGCGTAGTTAGGAAAATCTTGGATGGCGTAAAACCCAAACCATGCTGAAACTTAAAGTGGGGCTATCCTCAGTTTGGACAAGTGTTTCCTTATAAAGTTATGTAGAGAAACAATTACACTGAAAACCACTTCTATTGCCATTCGAGATGTGGAAGCACCAAGCTCTGTGGGCAGAGTCCACTCGACTTTGATAAACACAATCTAGAAACGTATTAATTCTGATATATATTCCTGAAGTAAGAGTTATGGTCATAAAAAGAGATAAAAATATGGCCAAATCTCTGAGATTTTTTTTTTTTTTCAAATTGAATCAATAAGCCCTTAGGTTAGGAATGTTTAAAAAGATTCCACAAATGTGGAGCAGAAACTCACATCCACTTAGGTGTAGATTAAAATTATGAGGATTTTAAAAAATTAAATAATCTAAAAATCATGCACTACGTATTTCCCTAAATTGAGATGGAGTGATTCAGAGTTGCAGATGCTTGACCACCGCTCCCCCTCGCAACTGTGTCTGTTTTGGGGCCATCACTGGGGACAGCTGATGTGGACAGCCAGGGTTTGGTGTGTTTCTGATCTCAGAGGTCCCAAGAGACCCCAGGACACCAGATCAATTTCTGGAGTTATTTACATACTTGGAACAGCTGAGATAAAGAGCAAGGCTCTGGCAAACCGGACAGATGGAAAACCTTCCTGAAGATTACGAAATGCCGACGGCTCTTAATCTACAGGACCTTACCCCAAACGGACAGGGCCATCCCTGAGGCTCCCACCTCCATAGTCTCTATCTTTACTTCCCCACATACTGGATCCAGGCGGGGGTCACACACACACCTAAAGATTGGTTCCACTATAACTCTATACTGTCCTTTTAAAAACAGCATATGCTGTTTTTCTTTTTTCTTTCTTTCTTTTTTTAAGATTTTATTTATTTATTTGACAGAGAGAGAGAGAGATCACAAGTAGGCAGAGAGAGAGGGGGAAGCAGGCTCCCTGCTGAGCAGAGAGCTCGATGCAGGGCTCGATCCCAGGACC